GTTTATTACCGAGCTTTGATAGCATTTACATACTTACTTACTTACTTCCGCCCGTTACTCCTCGTGAAGGAGCATAGGCCTCTCATCAGCATTCTCCATCCAACCCTGCCCTGGGCGGTCCTTTCCAGCTTCTTCCGGTTCCAATTCATCCTTTTCACATCTGTTTCTATTTCTCGAAGTAATGTGTTCTTTGGCCTTCCTCTTTTCTCCACTTACCTTCAGGATTCCAAGTCAGGGCTTGCCTCGTGATGCAGTTTGATGATTCGCGTAATGTATGTCCTATCCATTTCCATCGTCTTTTCGGAATTTCCTCTTCAGCTGAAAGCTGGTTTGTTCTCTCCCACAGTAGGCTGTTGCTGATGGTATCCGGCCAATGGACATTGAGTATCTTGCGTAGACAACTATTTATAAATATTTGTGCCTTCTTGATGATGGTTGTAGTAGTTCTTCAAGTTTCAGCTCCGTACAGTAGAACTGCCTTGACGTTCGTATTGAAGATCCTGACTTTGATATTGATTGACAGTTGTTTTGAGTTTCGTATGTTCTTCAACTATAGGAATGCGATCCTTGCTTTGCCAATCCTCGCCTTTACGTCTGCATCTGATCCTCCTTGCTCTTCGATGATGCTTCCTAGGTATGTGAAGGATTCTACATTATCCAGAGTTTCGCCATCAAGCATGATTGGATCGCTGTTCCCTGTTTTGAATTCGAGGACCTTGGTTTTCCCCTTGTGTATGTTGAGGCTTACTGATGCAGAGACTGCTGCTACACTGGCTATCTTTATCTGCATTTGTTCGTGTGCATGGGATAGGAGGGCTAGGTTATCTGTGAAGTCCAAATCGTCTAATTGATTCTGAGTTGTCCATTGTATGCCGTGTTTTCCCTCAGATGTCGCGGTCTTCACAATCCAGTCGACCACCAGAAGAGAGAGGAATGGAGAGAGTATACAGCCTTGTCTAACTCCGGTCCTTACTTCGAATGCGTCTGTCAGCTGTCCTCCATGCACGACGTTGCACTGTTATCCGTCGTATGAGTTCCGAATCATGTTGACAATCTTCTCAAGAACTCCTTAATGTCGGAGAAGTTTCCATAATGTTCTCCAATCTACACTGTCAAATACTTCTTCATAACTAATGAAGTTGATGTACAGTGACGAGTTCCACTCAACTGATTGTTCTATGATGATCCGTAGTGTCTCAATTTCGTCTGTGCACGACCGATCTTTACGGGATCCAGCCTGTTGATCTCGAAGTTAGGTGTCTACTGCGTCTTTCATCCGGTTCAGCAACACTCTGTTAAAGACTTTTCTTGGTATTGACAGCAGTGTAATGCCTCTGTAGTTTTCACATTCGCCCGAATCTTCTTTCTTTGGAATCTTGATGATGTGTCCTTCTTTCTAGTCCATCGCCACTTGTTCCGCCTCCCAACTCTTCCTGAATAGAAGGTGAAGCATGTCTCTCGTTACTTCCATGTCTGACTTCAGTGCTTCAGCTGGTATTTTGTCGGGTCCTTCTGCTTTCCTGCTCTTGGTTTGTCTGATGGTCATCCTGATTTCCTCGATCGTTGGTGGTGGGACATCTATGGGAAGGTGTGTATGTGCTGCTTCGATATCCGGTGGGTTCAGTGTGGCTGGTCTCGAAGTACTCTACCCATCTGTCTCTCTGTTCTTGAATTTCAGTGATTGGCCTGCCTTCTTTGTCATTGACCTGTCTCTCTGGTTTACTATATCTCCCTGCTAGTTTCTTCGTTGCCAGTACTGCCATGTGGTATCTCCTCATTTTCATTGCCATTTGACTGGTCTTCCCGGTCTCCCACATTGTTTGGACGTTCCATATACCTATAACAACTAATGTTCTGGTTGTTAGAAGTGGCATCGGCCTCGCGGGTTACGAAAAAACTGAGCTTTCACCATGAGCCGTCATAGTTCTTCTAAATGAAGACCTTCTAACTCCCAGGGCAGAGTTTAAATGGTTTGAATTATTTTTTCTGATTAGCGTTTTTTCAGCGAGTTATTTTTCTACAGGATGGGGTCACTCACCCAATGCCCAACCATCCTCCTTTTCCCGGGCTTTGGACCAGCAGTAACTCTAGAAGGGTCACAGGCGGAGTTATAGCATTTACATGCTTCAGCGAAATAAACGTGGTCAAACATCAAGCTCTGGCAAATATGGTCTTAAAATGGTGTAAATAGACAATGGCTAGCAACGTGGGCAAGGACCGAATGATTATCTGGACCCGAAACTTTATGTTGTTTTTTCACTTAGCGTTTCACCGTTTTAAACTATGGACTATCCTGCTATATTTTTTCTCCCGGCAATTGTCTGCCTAATTTCCAATTTTCGAGTTCCATTGCAAAACAACAAGAAAAATATTCCAGAAACTTACGGTGAGCTTAAGCTATAAAGTTTCTGATATTTTAAGCTCGTTTCAGACTGTTAATACAGTGAGGGTCATGTATTTATCTGAACATTGATTTTTACTAAATCAACTGAGTGACGAAATAAATAGCATCACAAACACCCTGGAACTAGTTGCAATACCGAGTGTTTAATCCGTTTCGTTTTGGATCATTACTACTATTCACAAATTGCCCTATACATGTCAAGTTCATTTAATTGTCTCTACGCTTACAGACTGTAATATGCATTTGCGTGTTTTTGCAACGTGAAGTAACTTTCTGTACCTTAATATGAATTGTTAGTAATACCTGTTAATTGATCAAAATATCCTCATGTATTTTGTTTCATGCAGTTATCTGCATGTTTTCCGTTATTCTCTCCAAGGCGGCAGAGTTTAACAGTTGTACATTGGACCGTACTGTGACTTTTGCTTCAGTGAAACGCGACCATAATGTCAGTAGTTCAGCTGTATGCAGCGGCGAATTAAATATTGAAAGACACATCTTTAGCCTTGATCAACAAAAGTCCCGACAAGGAAGATTGAAGAACACAAAGTGTAGTTACCAATGAACGGTATTATAGGTTAAAATACAAGAGAGGAGAAGGAATAAATAAATGACTGTCCAGTTAAGTGCTGTGGAGAGAATTTCAGCGTATCGCTTTCGTTTATCTGACAGTTGCGACGATCTTTCGTTTGGACGTTATCTGTGTAACGGTTGAATGAGTAAATTCAAAGATATACGAATACTATGGTGGGGTTTATGGGAAATTCTATACCCATGTTGCATGTAAATAATCGAAAAGCGGGATCAAGATGACGTACATTTAATTAGGGAGTCGGCTCATTGTCTGCTGTGTAAGAAAAGAGTAAATGCACAGCGTATTGTTTGCATCGGTAAGAAGGGTAACCACTATTGTACCCAAAGTTTAAAAGCTGCAGGAAATGTGACTGTTTCGTAAAAGGCTTACGCAGAAAGCTTATTATCTAGCGTCACGTAACATATTGCATACGGTAATAAGACGAATTACTTGGTTACAACTTTGGCTGAGATCGCTTGTGTACATGCAATACCTTTTTCCACAATGGGTCTACTTACAAAGTATACATATACATGATTTTCATTAAAACTTGACGGGAATGGCACAATATATGACTAGTTCATTTTAGAGCAAATACAAAATGTTATTAGGCCTCATAAACATAATACGAAATAATCTAACGAAATTGAGAAACTCGCCTGGGTTACTCTCCCTTTTAAATAATGAAGTTTTGAAATAGACAGTAGTTCAAATTTAGATTACATGCAAGGTAGTGTTGATTTATTTATTGGTTGAATGTTACGTTGTAGACAAAATTTGTATGGGTCCCAAAGTGATTTGAGCTAAATACGTAGCACTGCCAGTGTAGATCACTAACGCAGATGATCTGCGCCAAATGTGTTGGGGGCCTGCCCAGGTTAGACGGCGATGGTGTGATCAATCAGCTGACGTCGAATACACACCTCGAGGCTAGTACAAAAAATTGACTACCCTTCCGTCATATCCAGGTACTACCGCTATTTTAACCACCATACGGCACGAACAACTTTATTACAGAAATGGTAAGAGTAGGTACAACAGAGTGCGACCACCAAACATGGGCCAGTCCATGGCGTGCAATTAACTGGTGCAAGTTGGTTGTCTTTCACATTGATGAGGAGCGGTGAATTGTTCGGCACTCAGAGACCCAACTGTCAGATGATTTGGCTAGGACTCATTGACATTTTACTGGCCCTACAATTCTAAACGTCGATAGGCACAACAAAGGAACTCGTCGTCGTCTGAGACTACACTCTATGGGCCATCCATGTAAGGTGATCCATTCCTCGCCAATATAATGTGAGCTTTGTCATATATATATAGTTCACATTTCACATTTTGACACATTCGAAACTTTAACTCCTATTTCCGGTTATCAAGTTGCTTCAATCTTACTATTGTACTAATGATAGCAATTGTTGAGTGCTTTTACCAATAAATATATATGGGTTAAATGCTCTTACCTAGTGGTTGTCTTACGTTACCTCCAATTTTTTACTCAGGTTCTTTTATATTCTCCTAGGACACAGCACAATCATACTAGACGCAAACCTACCAAAGACTGAAAGTTACAACATCACGCGGATGGAATTAATGACGATCGAGAATACCGCATCAAGGCAAACACTAATTTCACAGAGAGACTTTGATTTATGTGACCTTTTATCGAAAAAAACCTAACAGAGTGTGTTAAGTAAAACAAGAGTTCATTACTACTATGATGGAGGTGTATAAAGCTATTTGGTTTTAGAAACGAAGGTAATTTGCTTACATTAAGTCGAGCTCGCGAAATTGATATAATTAATCCATTTAAACCCTACGCTGCTTCACCGTTTCTTTCCTTTAGTTTTCTGTTTTTACAAAGTGTTGCTTCTTATTAGAGAGTCGAAGTAATTACTTTCGCAACAGGATAGTTTTATTTCATTTTGTCGCAGGATTATACAAGTTATTAGTTATTTCAGATGAATGAGCTATTTTTTCATTATCTAGTGATTTGAAATCCTGAAGTTTATTAGTTTGTTTGCACATCTTGGCGGTGTACCGTCTCATCTGCGGGAAGTTTAGTTTCTTTGGTTATGGAGCGGACTAACTCTGTAAGGTCTTAGGGATATTTAACTTCATGAAGAAATTCGAGTTGATGGCACTTTTTTCTCCTGGTCTCTTAAAAAAGCGCTAGCGTCATCCATCTGTACATGGTACTTTTGAAGTTGTAAACCACACTACAGGACAGTCACTGTAACCTAGTTACGATTCCCTCCTTTTTGATGTCTTAATTTACTCATGTCGTTTTGAGTTGGTTATTCATCTTTATAGCTGAGGTAGCTTCTCAAATTATACTGAGAGGAATTAAGGTTTTGAATCTGACATTTCATAGCGAGGTGTGGATTTACATTTCATTATTCGTTACCTAATAATAATTATGTTTTTCTTAGTTGTTTCGAATTGTCTTAAGGGTGTATTTTTTGATAATATAAAAAGCTAGCATTGTTTGAACAGCAAGCAGGAGGTGACCTAGATCTCCACTGATGAATGTTCATGTTTGCTTATGGTCTAATTAACAACATGAGTAGCATAGGAGTCAAGATATGATGCTATCAATCAAACTAAGGAAGAATAATAATAGCAAACATGATTCGAAGCAAAGAACGTTCTCAGTAAAAAATGTGGAGTAATATCGGAAATCAAGATTTTCCGAATATAAAGTGTAAATTTATCTTCGTCACAGTGATCGACTTCTAATGAGCTAAATGTCATCCCATATGCTTCTTTTGGGGGAACCTCAAGACTGGCCATATCAAGTTGTATGTAATCAGTAATGATATTTATCTTGGTGAGCATAGTTAATTTAATTTATGTATGCTGAATTACAAGCTTCTGTGTTCTGTTCAAACGTAAACCTTGAAAATGCAAAAGATTCTCAGGATACGTTTGCCAAACAGCCCCAATTATTTGCTAAACTTTTTAAGTCACTACACAACTGTCGATGATTTGTGGAAAAAAACTGGGAATGAGTTATGTTGTACGTTTGGCTTGAATTTATGCAATTACTTAATAAGTACCTATTTACTCAGTTATGAAATGCCTTAGTCATATGGTTAAAAAGTATATATTTGGGACTTGTTGTAGGGTGGCGAATACCAGACAACCTGGTGAGACCTTACAAAGAAACAATAACCGTTTAGGATAAGCATACTTTTGGGAATTTTACTGATATCAAACTCTGAATACTCCGCCAATCATGGACGAATGTAGTATCTAACCTGTCCATGAATCGATCACTTTTACTGCCTAGTAGTATATGCATTACAGGTCGAGGATTCTCCGTTTCTAATGATATCCAGAAGAAATATATACTAATTAGTTGGAATATCTTACCGAAGCGTTTTTTTATGGTTGGTAGTGCTGGGGGAATGTCATTTGGGATTTTTCACGTAATATTTACAAAAAAAAACAAAAAGTTTACTTATGCCAATATTTGTTCGTACAATTTCTCTAAGTCCTGAACTATGATGTTTGAAGCACTTTAGGAAATCCCATTTTAAGAACCAGGTGTTCCGCTATTTCTGCCGACTGAAACTTAATTTACTGAATTGCAATTGTCCACAGTTAAAACATAAGATTAGGTGGTCATATTTCGCGAAGCTGTCAAAGATAGGCACCAGTAAGCATATTTAGTTATAGTTATCTAGCTGTCAAAATTCTTATTTTGGAGGGAAATAGATGACTTAGCAGTTACTTAACGGGTATTCTAGTGTAAGAGCTTGATCCATACTAAGGCACGTTTTGTGGCGAATTCATGACATTTTCTTGTGTCTATAGTGAATATTATTCCTCGGAAGTATCGTTATGAAAGATTACTGAAAATACGAAGTATGTGGTTGGGTAATCAATTTTTGTTATTGTGTTCTATTTTTACTAAATGTGGTTAATATTGTATTACTGGGTTTTACATCTGAATACTTTGTATAGACGTGTTTTCTCAAAAATCCTCTTACACAGAAATCAACTGAAAAGATCGTCACAGATTATCAAAAGGCACATAAACGCGCTGAACTTGAACGTTTACGTATAGCCAGAGAGCATCAAAGGGAACTAGAAAGAAAACAAAAAATATTGGAGAAGGTTTCTCTTTTCGATTATTTAAACACTTCTGACTAGGAAAAGCAACAACGAGAGAGACAAGAAAAGAGAGATGCTGAAGAACGTAAGAAAGAAGAGAAGCGTTTGAAACGTAAGGAAGAGCAGCGCAAAAAAGAAGAGGAAAGGGAAAATGAACGTAAAAAGAAGGAGTATGTTTCATGCTATTTAAATTTCTTAGTTTTGTTTGTCTTCTTTATTCAATACTCATTTCTTGTTTTAGGGAAGAAAAACGCAAGAAAGAGGAAGAAAAACTGCAAAAAGAACAAGAAAGGAAAAGGGAAGAAGAGTTAAAAACCCAGAGAGAAGAAAAACAACGGGCAGTTTTGTTAGGATTTCTTGTGAAATCAGAAAGCAAAAAGGTCTTGTAATTTTCCTTTAATGTTTTATTTGTTTATTAGGAAACCAATACCATCTCTTGTACAGACTGTGGACCATTTATACAATTTGAAGTCAGAAAAGATATGAGAATGGCTCCTTTGCATAGAATGTCACAGGCTTTACTTTCCTCAAAACGAAGCAACATGGAAAACTTACGACATGCATGGGTAAACGGAAACGACAAGGATGCAGCATCGTCACTTGGGTTACTTAAATTTGGACGTGCTAACTATCTTCATGAACTACGAACAGGACAGATATTACCATTATCCTATCCAAGTACCTGGCCAATGTACGTTGTCTTTATATATATATATATATATATATATATATATATATATATATATATATATAAAGACAAATATCCATATCAACCACTGCAAGTTATCATCAGTTCAAATCACAGTTTCCTGTGAACGACCATAACAATTAGTGTTTATTTGGAGAGCGTTTAGTATATCGTATTCACATTTGGCACCTTCGGTAGTAGAAACTGATAAGATCTATTTGGTTATGTTGAGCTCACTTCCTGACCATAGCTGCTACCTTGAAATGATGATCGGGGTTAGATATTGGGATGATCCAATCTATCTATATTGGGTGGAACACTTGTTCCTTTAAGTCCTGTCATACTGTTCAGGTCGGCTTTAGAACGGTAAGACCAAAAACAGCAACTTAGGGTCCATGGACATAGTTGTACTGCTGACTGCACAAGGGTGTGACGACAGTAATGTGTTCCCCTCAAATAACTATCATCTATAACGGTACTTCATTCTCAAAACAAAAGGGTTTAGAAAAGACACCCTAAACTTAGAATACCTCATCTTACTCTACGGAGTTTTGAATTCCGTGGTCGGGGCTTTTGAAATACGAATCTAACACATCAAAAACTCCTCACAAAAGGTTGATGTGTAACCGGCCTCAAAGAGTTGTCCCCTGGGTGCTGTGGTCACGCTCTCAGGTCGCTAAGATCATCACTAATACAGTTTTTCCTCCCAGCCTTATCAATAAGAAGCATATTTCCGCGGTGTGGGGAACCAGGAAGTGACAACCACCTTCATACCCGTAGCAACACGTGAGATCACCTCGGTCATAACCAGACGCCATCTTCACTAAATATCACTTCTGCCAACTCTCACCTTCTGTATTTGACTTCCTCAACACGTTCTGTCAATAATAACAATTCGAGTTCACAAAATGCCATTCCAGATCACCAAAAACCTCGCTTCGAACCATGTGTTGCAGCTTTAATGCCCGAACCCTATGTCCCATTCGAACAACAGAGGTCACTGGCTATGATCCTAGAATCTCGTTCCATCGATTTATGCTGTTTATATGATCCTAGCTTGATTCACTTGACTTCACCCAGCCAATATAGGGAGCAAACGTAATATACTCTTTATGTATCTAGAGACGCGACAGCAACTCGTGATCTTTCCGGTATAAATATAGCAATAAATCTGAACAAGAATTTCTTATCGAGATTCCCATCAACAGTTGCTTATTTGGTGTCCATCTCAATGGTAAGATATAAACTCAGAAAGGCGAATACGTCGTTGCGTTTTTATTGTTTCTGTCTATGGTCCCACTGACCACTTTCCGTATAGAGTAAATAACGAGTTTTACTGGAAACGTCATGATCTTTTCCAGAGAGCCACCCTCTCAGTATTATTATTTTTTAAAATGATCTGAACACATAGATATTGGTACAAGGAGGCACCAAATACATATGCGCCACACAAATCTCATTTGATATGTGTGAGGGCTACGATACTGTCCGGGTGCCCAAACCGAAGCAGGTGGTGTTCTAAGGGGGCCACACCCTGAACCTTCGATCTGGGAGTCTGATCTACAAGGCAGTGGAGCAACGTGAGGAGATGCAGTTCCATGGGAGCTGGTGACCAACTATTGATTCATACGCCATTTCTTCCTTCAGGATACTGGAGTCCATGTACATCATTGGTTTTAAATCAGGGTTTTCCAACTCCCCTAGCTGGACTCTTCATGTCCACCAACCCGGTTAAAGCTCTGGACATTCGCTTTTCGTCCTTTCAATTTCGTAAACAACACCCCCGCCACGAGAAGGCAGTGAGTAGGACTTCCCTGGCAGAGGATATATACGCGTGACCATGTGAGAGCACTTCGAGAGGGAGAGCAGACTCTCCCCACTCACGGTCGTACCACGGCATTTGGGGGCAAAAGCACTGAGCCCGACGTGATATGGCAATCGTTGCAGCGGATTTTTACACTATAGTTAGTAGTATGAATCAAACTAAAAATTCGTTTGGGTGGGTCGTATAGCGTTGTAGCTCAACAAACGGATAGCAACGACTGTCTGTTTTAATTGTGCTCAAACAACTAATTGTTCCTAGCAGGTAAAAACTTAAAGCACAACGTTAGGTATTATCTAATCTGGCGGCCCACGACATTATTGCAAAGATGAACACACATAGGTCATATCACCATCAGCCATTATTAGAGAGACTCAACAGAAAACTAACTCTTCTACTGGAGTACGTGCCTAGACTCAGATTATGCCCCATCAGTAATAGTGTAGTGAACGAGAACACAAGTGGGGACAATCGGATATATTTGAATACAAAATTACAGAATCACTTAATAAAATCTGAGAACCATACAGTAAATACTTCATTTGCAAAATGTCAATCAATCGTCTCATGTTTCATTGTTCTTTCGTTTCCACGTCAACCATTCTTTGTTCTCGTTCTCTTTTCTTTGATATTCTTAACCTTCTGCCTCGAGGCATTTCACTTTCGATCGATGATACATACTGCTTATATGTGTCGACATCAGTAGCACACATTTCTGTTAGTTTTACTGGACGTAATAAGGTCACAGAAAGGAAACTCCTTCGATATCAATCCGAAGATGAGAATGTGAATGAAATATTCAGTTAAGAATTAGCCAAGCACCTAGTTGGTTGTAGGGAAACAGTTCATTTTGAACGAGCTTGGAAAAGCATCCATGCAGCCGTAAATACAGCAGTCACATCTATTAACAACTAGATCACATGTCCAGGAAAGATCAGGAGATTCTGGCAGCATGTACTGGATTAATAGAGGTTCGAAAACATCCTATCGAATAAAAATAAAGAGCAACAACAGCTCAAACTTAAACTAATAAAAGGTGTGAGACTACCTTGGTAAAGGGCCAAGCTATTATTCACTCTTAATCTAAGATTAGATAGATGGGCAGAACATTTTAGGGAATAGTTCAACTGACCTCCAGCTGCTTTTCAGTTACCATATATCTCCAACCGACCTGAATGGCAAATCAACCTGAGTTCTTCGACCCTTAATGAATTTGGAGAGGTTATGTATACTCTAGAATGAGAAAGCTGCAAGTCCTGATGTCTCGACTCCAGAGATCTTTAGTTATGATAGTTCAATTTTAGTGTCTAAGTTAACTGAGATCTTACCTAGAGTCTGAGAATTAGACGTAATCTGACTAGTCTCGATAACTGACCATTATAATCTACAAAAAGGAACAAAAATCCTCTTGTGATAACGACAGAGGAATCAGTTTGATTAATGTGATGTCTAAAACGTCAGCTTCAATAATCACCCAACACTTAATTTGTTCTGGTAAAGAATAAACCGAGTGAAACTCGGTTAGTTTTAGAAGTGGACGCGTTTGGATACACCAAATATTCACTCTTCAAGTTTTCGAAAATAGGAATGCTTACCGACACTCGACTATATTGGTTTTTCTTGAACTTAAGACATCATTGGACTCTGTTGACCTAGGGTTTTCTGATCAATTTGCTTTTTAATTCGGTAGCTCTTGCGATTTCTTTTACTTTAATTATGGTTTGTATCACCAAATCAAATAATTTGAAGGACCATTAAAATCTATGAAACGCTAAGTCTCTGTTTTACTTTAGCTTGAAACACAGTCTGCACTCATAATTTCAGAGAATGTTAGACGAGGCACTAACATTCCGTTGTATACGGGAACTATTTTCACGAATTCAAAAAGAAAACTTATTACTTTTGTTAAATATGGTGATTGTCTATTCGCTTTATGAATGAAAGTATCTTATTTCGCATTTCATATCTAGTGAACCTCCCGAAGTTCAATATCTTGGAGATAATATCTATCCTGTTATAAACTCGATCGCTTTAAAACAACACGGTAATCGTGGTAGTGGTGGAACAGTATGGCTACGTGCAAAGTTATTTCAATTCGTTGAAAATTATCGACCTGCATATTATGGTACATGGCGACGTCGTAGTTGTATTGTTACTGGGCGAAGACCATTTGCTCGTGATGATTATCAACTTGATTATTCCATCGATTCAGATGATGAATGGGAAGAAGAAGAACCTGGTGAAAGTATCACGCAGTCTGATGTGAGTTAATTCATTAGAAATGATAAATAAACAGTTTTGCTTTGTTAAAACAATACGTAACGTAAAATAACAAAATATGATGTCCGATAGTATGTACTTTATATTTGCACTGATAGATCTGTCCAATGGGTAGTATATATTCCAGATTATTGACTGGACACTTTGAAATTGGAAAACGGATTATGAATGAGTAGGAAACAATCCATAAAGTTTATTCGTTATTCTTGTAACCTCTTTTTATATCCTTGATCAAATCTTACTCACAAATTTTGGTACTTTATTGTTTTTTGCTATTTTAAATGACAAAAGGAAATTTCCAGTTAATTTCACATGTGTTTATTCATTTAAATGTTACGACTGTGAAAATACAGTGTAGATAGAAAACGGGTCTTTTCGCACAATATTTGGAAAAGTTTACACCTTAATTTTTAAATCTGGAAACTATCAATGTCAAATTGTTAGGCACCGGTTAATTATTCGGTTAGTACTATTTGACAGTGAAATAATACTGGATTTTCTAAGTTAAAGCTTTAAACATACATTGGCACAAATTTTAGTGAAGCTACATTTATTTTAGATTGATAAACTGAGTGGTAGACTTTTATTTACTTTGTCTTTCAGCTTATTTTTACGCCTTTTTTGGCTGTTTTTTTGTAATCAATTCAATGTAATTTCACGTGATTGTAATTGTGATCCGAGTTATATGTGGTTTTACAAGTTGCTTAGTTGAATATAGCCAGTACTTTTTTAAAATGGATAGACACATGTAGTGTTTTCGCTTGCAAATTACCCTTAGCCTTATCAATGTTTTCTTCGCCTACTCGAAAGAATTTAGATGTGTTAGTTATTTTCACACAAAAAGTGATCGTTTGTTACAATGATAAAACATAAAATTTTCGATCTCATCTCTTTCTGTTGACTTCTAGGTGTATATGTGTGATAGTTTGGGTAATGAAAATGTTAACCTTCATCAACTGAAGAGTAGTAGAGGCATGCTACTCATAGTTAACTGTCGTCTATCCCGATGCGCTACACTGGCCATCTTGATAATAGCCTAGCAAAAATGTTAACGTTATTAGACTAAGACATCTAGGATCCATTAAGCCATTGATTGTTAGTTCCATGCATATTGACAGGTGTAGATCTTCTGATTGAGTGCCTTAAAATAATCGTAGTTGATATGATTGGAAAGGTGAGTTGAACGGTTTCATAATCAGTTCTTTGAAGTGAAGTAAACATATTTGTTCTTTACACTGTTCATATGATCATTTTGTGCATTTCATACCAAGAGTTGATTTGTTTCTTTAAAATTACAGTATTCATGTTTAATTATTTTCCACTACTTCTGACATTATTATGTTTCTGGTTTCTGATCTTGTTGATTTTGTCTTATTTCGTTTATGTAATATGTGACAGTTTTGACCGATAAACATTTTGAATTCTATTCGAATTTTTTCTTAACTATTTGTTTATTGACTTGCATTAGTAGTGCCATGTGAATTACTGTAATTCAATTAATTCTTTTTATTTTAATTATTTAGTTCATCTGCTGGGAAAATACCAGTTCATCCTGCTATTTATATGAAAGTTTTGTACACCATGCGGTTTTTGCACAGTTTATTCTATTACATATGATGTATTTTTGTATGACAGTTACACATAGATGCTAAAATTATCAACGTTGAAAGATTATCATCTTGAGCATACCGGAAGAATGTGCAAGATAATAACTGCTTTTCCATATTAAAAAGTTTCTCTCTGTCATGATGTGAAACCAAACTATTCACATAAATGGTAAACCTGGATTATTTACTACATTCTAAACCACTAGCAAGATAGAACAAAATCCAGCGAGAATAGCTTAATAAGTTTGTATTCTGATTCAGTGGAGCATACAAGACTTAAAATACATCTTATACTACACGTAGGATGTCTAGATACGACCTTAAAAACTACAAATAGTTTTGAAAACCCCAAACGTAATAAATAAATCTATTTTAAACTTGGTGAAAATCTATACTGCCGATCCCAGAAACAAACTTTGTTTTAATAGAGAAATTGCATTTGAGATTAAACCACTGATTCCGCATGGTTATTCATTGAGGCGAACTATTGGCGTTTCGGCATCGATACGTGTTCATTTTAAATTATCTCACTTTCCGCGATTCGGTCAGTGAATTTCAACCATTATAACGTTATTCAATTTATTTTGGTGATTTTTTTTGCAAATCTGATTTGCAAACTTGCTCCCCTAGCCAAATATCATGATATCGTGGTATACCGTGTTCCCACCCGTGATATAGGCTCGAATTTCTGAAGACAGCATTAATTTCCACAAGATTGTTTGTGAGTATCAATTCAAATGAAACCTAAGTTTAAGAAATTCTTATTAAAGTCTTATAGTCATTTAATTTGTTTTATTGGTTCACTTCTTATGTAATAAAATTTTCATGTCCACTCTATTTTCATTCCTATTCATTCAATCCAAAAATGCATCATTTTACTAGACTTTTTACTTTTGACAACTATAAATTTTTATGCCTCTCAAATTTTAATATGTTAGTTTTATTCGAATTTGACATAACTCGCGATTGAAACTGTTCGATATTTTGCAAGGTTTTTCCACCAGTCTCACCATTACTATTATTATTCTTAATTATTATTAGTTCTTTATTGTTATTATTATCCCGGAGTTCAAATAGAATCTTTAGAGGACGAAAAAGAGAATGAGAGACTATGCAAGAATATTACTTTATCCAACGTGTACAGCTGTGGCTCATTCGCACCAAGCACTCAGCAACATCCAGCTGTTAAATCACGAATTCGTATCACCCTCCAGCTGTTGACGTTTGGCCAGTTAACCATGAGCAGCGTAAAACCTGGTACATATATGCATCAGTTTAAGTTACCACATCACGTCACAACAAAATAAAATTATCAAGAAAAGTGCTAGAGTAGTAGAAATAGTAACTGCATCAGTGATAGTATTCGGGCGCCGAGTTAATGTGAGATATTAAAGAGGAAGAATGTATTTGTAAAATCTCAGCGAAAGAATTTGAAGTAAATCCAACGTTTCGCTGAGATTTTACAAATACATTCTTCCTCTTTAATATCTCACATTAACTCGGCGCCCGAATACTGTGAAACTATTCGATCAAATTGAGACGAAAGTTCTTATTTATTAAAAAGTGAATAAATCCAATGTATTGCGACCGATTTCGAACCATGTCACTCAATATCTTCAACTATTAATTACAATAATTGAGGTTCCGAGAATCAAGTAGTGCATCACTAGCCTTTTTCACATCACGCGTAATTAATAAATAAGTGCAAAACGTTGTATACAGGCTAACTGACTGTTGCATTCATTACATCATTTATATCACATCTCCATTGCCAACTATGCTCAATGTATGGGTTTTGATTAGTATATTGTATTTATTTTCTGGACCAGAATGAAGATGAAGAAGACGAAGATGAGGAAAAGGGTGATGAAGATGACGATGATCAGTTCTTTGTTCCACACGGCTATTTATCTGATGATGAAGGTGTTGCTGTAGAAGAAGGTGATGGTCCGATCCCTGATGAAATGAAGCAATTGCGTCAACAATTATCTGTTGCGGAGTATGAAGCAGCTCATCGTCGTGGACTTCAACGTTTAAAACCATTATTACTAGGACCTTTATGGTTGCCTGAACCAGTTGAATGTTGTTTACCAAGCAGTAATGCAAGTAACAATAATACTACTAGTGCTACCACTAATAATAATCATCATTTTGAAGAGAATAAAGAAAACATCGAATTTCCTGAAAGATTTATTCTCAGTAAGCAAACCAATGAGAAAACTGAATTCCAATTAATGAAATCTGTTTTAAGCGTCTATCGTGTAAGTGTGTTTCGCATAGGACAAAAAAAGCTTTTTTATTACCTAGCATACTCTGTTTTAATATAAGTTTTATTGTCTGTCTGTTGGTATATTTGAAAGTAGTCTAAACTTACAGTTCTGATTTTCGGTGAGTAATATTTGTTTGCTGTAATTTGTAAATTTCATAATTTTACTGACTTACATTTAATAATATTATATAACTAACACGACTACCGTCGGTTTCATGTTATAAATATTTTTTGAAAAATAAATATTTTTTTGTGGGAGATATTGTGTTTTTGTAAGCAGTAGTGGTTCGGTTTACTACCACTAAGCAGCGGGTTTGAACTTCGCTTCATTTCGGTTTTACCAAACGGCTAGTATCACTGGCCCATTTATTTAAAGTGTATCTGTAAGATAAGTACACAAGTTTAGTTTAATTTTAGGTTCTTCGTTGTCTTTCTAGACAATATCATCAGTATCATTTTCTGGGTTTCATGAAAATGTTCATTTATACAGGATAACGTTGCTGTAAATGCGGTACTATATATTACCGAAATCCATAAAGTAGTGTTAAACATCATACATTTTATCTGGTTTTTTATCAATGAAACTTGGATTTTTTGATGTAATTGCGATAATTGTTTTCTTTTATACAGTAGATGCTACAAAGCAATACTGTAAACTACACAACCGAGAGATTTATTATCATTTCTAAAAATAAATCTGGTGTTTTTTTAACTGTTACCTATTCAACTAATGCTTTTCACTCAACTAGTTTACTAACGAGATTGAGTAGCAAACCGAATATGTACAAAGAGAAATTAGAATAAAAAAATTTACTAAATAAAAACACGAGAGTGTATATGTAAATTATCTGAAGAACTTCCAGCAACCTTCTTGACTCACCTACCAATTCTGATTGGCTAGTCTTTGAATACGCATAAAGTCAGTCTTTTCATAATTAACTCTGCGTTCTCAGACTTGGATGGTTCATTGAGAATACTTTCATTGTCAACAACACCAACTTGGAAGAGATGTTTTTGAAATTTCCCTTTAGCGTAATACAATACAACTCAGTAGTATTGTTATGTGTCAGCCTGATATGCTTAGTTCAAAGTAGTATTTGTTGTGTAAAGACAACTGTTTCACCATTCAATCTCCTAATAAATTATTAAAGGCTTCGAAATCCTGCAGCCCTAATTGTTCAAGTTAAGTCCATGGGCTTTTTATTTTGTACTGTAAGCTGTATTCGGTCTTCCAGTTTACTTTTGCACTGATGAGAAGAGGCTGTGTTTTTAGGAAAATATCTTATGGAAAATGTACATCTTTGATACAATCAGTTCCTTTTACGAATTTGAATAAAGTCAAAACAGCAGTTATTCTGCCTCATTTGTTGTTTTGCCTGAATTCAAATGTACATCTTGACGATCCATCTTGATCATCAGTTATTTCTACTACATTGTACTCAGCTAACACACTAAACATGTTTATGAACAGATAAAAAGTGACTTGTAGAATGTCAGTTATTACGTGTCTAATATACATCTTATTTTCTCTAAGCAGTGTTGCACATAGTATACAATAATTTCAATCAGTGAAACAATCACACACTATTATATTGTAATAATTTATAAATAACTTAGTGTAGACCATTTTACAGTTTGGTAGAGAAATATCAGATTTATTGTTTTGATGTTTTTGTATAATACTAATTTATTCATATTTACACTTTTTATTTGACCATAGGTGCATTTATGGACAACAAATTTTCCGATTTCTGTTGAACCAGATATTGTTGCCACTACTACGCCTTCAAGAAGACCGAAAAAATCTATCCCAGAAGAAGGTTATTTCACAGTTCTCTTAATAATGAAATTCCGGTGTAATGCTAAAATATTTTTTATGTAACGGATTATTATTTGCTGGACGGGAAGTGTTAAGAGAAAGGAAGAACTTAACACTTCCGTCTCAGTGTCGTTCGAGGCTTCGTTGTTAGTTGCCAGGTGTGAATGTAGTTGTCACTTCCCGGTTTCCCACACTACTGATGGATACTTCTTATTGATAAACTTAATGTGGGAAGGAAACTAAATTTCTGTTTTACCATTGAGATGGACACCAAATAAGCAACTGTTGATGGGAATCTCGATAAGAAATTCTTGTTCAGATTTATTGCTATATTTATACCGGAAAGATCACGAGTTGCTGTCGCGTCTCTAGATACATAAAGAGTATATTACGTTTGCTCCCTATATTGGCTGGGTGAAGTCAAGTGAATCAAGCTAGGATCATATAAACAGCATAAATCGATGGAACGAGATTCTAGGATCATAGCCAGTGACCTCTGTTGTTCGAATGGGACATAGGGTTCGGGCATTAAAGCTGCAACACATGGTTCGAAGCGAGGTTTTTGGTGATCTGGAATGGCATTTTGTGAACTCGAATTGTTATTATTGACAGAACGTGTTGAGGAAGTCAAATACAGAAGGTGAGAGTTGGCAGAAGTGATATTTAGTGAAGATGGCGTCTGGTTATGACCGAGGTGATCTCACGTGTTGCTACGGGTATGAAGGTGGTTGTCACTTCCTGGTTCCCCACACCGCGGAAAGATGCTTCTTATTGATAAGGCTGGGAGGAAAAACTGTATTAGTGATTATCGTTCACCGGGAACTGTGATTTGAACTGATGATAACTAGCAGTGGTTGATATGAATGTTTGCTTTTGTCATTCACAATTTAAATGGGTTCTGAAAACTATATTAATCCTAATTCTAATAATAATAATAATTTCAATAGCATTGTTTCATTTTCTGTGTATAATTTGGGCTTTTTTATAGCGATGGCGTATTTTATTCACCTTGTTCATCGGAGTCCTTTGGGAAAGCATAAATTAGCTTTTGAATTTCGTGTATTTTGGTATCGTCATACTACTGGCATTCTACCAGAATGCTTACAATATATGGAATATAAAAAATATAATGCTTCTACATTGGGTTCATCAATCTCACGCGGTGGTGGTCTTCCTGTTTTATCTGGTCCAGGTTGGGATAGTTTACCATTAAGTCAATCACTTGTGTTATCCAAATTATCTGAGATCGCGGTTTTCACAGAAGGAAGGTAATTTACCTTGCGTTGTTTTTCTCAATTATTTTTACATTTTCATACTTTCAATCATGAGCTTATCTCAGTTGAACTGTCATTGGGAACCTAGAACTACTGGACAGCGGTCTCTTCTCATTATGGGACTGCTCAACAGTGCTCATCCATGACCTCGGATCCGGGGATCATTCATGATTGTTTTACCTTTAGATCACTGACGCCGACATCCAACAGTGATAATGCCTAACTTCAAGAAACTCACAATATTGCGCAGCCCTCATCAGCCAGTCAGTCAGCTACAACGTAGGACCAGGCACATATGTGCATCGGTCCAGGTTGCCATACCGCATCAGCACAACAAGATGAACACCGGATTCATAGCAGTGGTTATGTCAAAGGTGGTAATATATAAGAGAAAGATTGCATATAGAGATATAGTACAAGAAGAAAAAATTGGTTCGTGGAAAGAAAGGTGTGAAGCGATTTTAATCTCTTAGTTCAAGGGAAGACAGAGAGTGTATACACCGACGCCATTGTGATCGATTCTTAGCTATGTCACCAAGAGTCTCCAACCATTGGTTACGAAAGTCACGCGGACCCCAACCAAGTAGTCTGCATCTACCAACATGGCTCAGACTAGAAGTTAGTGTCTTCAAGCACTGATGCCACGTTTTGGTTTGGCCGCCCCTAACTTTCTTCCAACCATCTTCAATACCGGATAGCATTGCACGTCGTGGTAATCGGTATTCAGGCATACGTAACACGTGGCCACAGCCCTCATCGATTGCCTCCGGTAAATAATCGTCACATCGAATGTAGTTGATTTTCACTGACCACAGCTCACTAGACTTCCAGAAGTTATATCTTGAAGCCAGTCACTACTACGCACATGATTATTATTTATATAGGAGGTTTTGTTGAGATCTTGGATGCTCACTTTTGAGAAGAAAAGACGGTTGTCCAGTGTTTCGGGGTTTCTAATGATGGTTTAGTTCATATCAGTTTACGATTAAAATTATGATAATTCTACAATCTCCACAAACTGCCCCGTATCTTTATATTTTTGCTTACTTTGAAACGGAACATATTTACTGTTTAGCTAACTTACTACATGAATCCTGTGATTTTTAGATAGAAGTGCCGTGGTTGTCTATTAGCTAGAATGTTCAGCTTATTAACACCAGATAACAACTTCGAACCTCGCCTTCCCTAATCCGGTTATGGCAGTTTGTAACATCACTCGATCCCTTGAATCTTAAGTATATCTCAAGGCTGATTACATAAGTCTGTACTTGTTGAAATGAATTACATTATGATCAATATTGTCGTTATTATTATTATTATTATTATTATTATTATTATTATTATTATTCTGAAAAAGTCATGTGTTATCCAAATGATAAATTAACTATTCACTTTGTTATCAATTTCAGTACTATGATAAAAATATTTATCTTGTAATGTGCATCGTGGTAACATATAAATATATAGAGCGGTAGTAATAATTTAGATTTTTTACCAAACCTATAGTTTGTTATAACGTAACTCGTATTCTTTGTAATGTAAGCTTTCATCTGCTATTTGTTGGATAACCTGACTCTAATCCCACTTCAAGTCTACTCAAGATTGAGTAATAACTGATCTTTGTTAAGTCTCGACTCAGTTACTCCTACTGTATTTTAGTATTCTTTGGACACTATCGATTCCCAATTCGGAATACGGGTTGGTCAGAAACATATGTATATTCTCATAAAACCACAAGCTTACTAAGTTGATGTTAGGGTAAAAAATTGTAGACTTATAATTTTTATACAGGAAATTCCTGGGGGCCTCTCCATTGATCTGCTGGTGCTGACTAGTTAAGAATGGACCAATCAGCGTGCTGCAGTGTAATTCTGTGTGGAATATGCTTTGAGTTAATCTATGTACGGTTACACGACCTTGTTGGTTCAGTCACTTTTTGCATAATAAATATGTTTGTTATGAGAAAGAGGGTTTTGCGGAGATTTTAGTCATTTAATAATTGGATTCATAAGTCAATTATAGCTAGACCACCATGGAAAACCTGGACGCACTAGACGGCCATTTCGTCCTAGTATGGGGCTCAGCAGCGCGCATCCATAATCCCGCCCGAGAGATTCGAACCGTTGGATGCCTGCTCAGTGGTTTGGAAGTTAGGGGTTCGCGCGCGAAACCGAAGGTTCTGGGTTCGGATCCCGCGAGCGGGATCGTGGGTGCACACTGTTGTGGAGTTCGATACCAGGACGAAACACCCGTCCAGTGCCTCCAGATTTTTCATGGTGGTCTAGCTTTAATTGACCCATGAATCCAAATATTAAATATGTTTACCTTTTTAAGTGATCGGGTGTATGCATTTCTTATCAGTATACACATCGTTTATTCATACCATAAAAATCTTAAGAATATTGAGTTTTTAAACGATCAGAACGTATAAATGGGATTGAATTTTTCGATTTTATTTTCACTTATTAAATAAATAACCACTATTTCTTGATCTTCGCTTATTTTGTGTACTACAAATTACTTTTTATACTTACCATTTTGCTACGTTTGAATCCATTTGTTATGGTATGTTATCCTTCAGTAATTATGTATTTTCATTTTTTGTTAACGTTTTATACATTCACTCTTTGTCTTCCTTCAGATCTTAAGTTTTTGAATTCCTCGTAAATTTTTTAACAAATTATCTCACCAATTTCTATTTTCTTTTCGAATTGTATCCTATATGCCTAATCTTTCTTATTACCATTATTACTGTTACTGACTTCACTGTTCTAGGATTTACCCTGACAGTTTTATCGCGCTATGTTTATGGGATATGGGAACTTAAACCGATGTAGCACATGTGCCAGGTTCTATGTTGCATTGGACTGGATGACTAAACTTTTTATAGATTCTAAATCTTAATATGTTAACAATGGTGTTATTTTCTTTATTTTATCGAATAATCACCTGTTTTTAGGTGGATGGTTAACACAGAAATACTTCAGAAATATGCTTCACGTCTTTGTAATCTGTGCATTATTCAAGAATTAAGTGGTGGTGTTGCTGGTAGTTTGGACAAAGTTGATAAAGATTATTTTAATAATCTTATATTTCCTTCATGGGAATATTTAACAGATGTAGCGGTGACTAGTAGCAGAGTAAATCGTGGTACATCAACAACTAGTCGTCGATCTCTAGAAGCACCACAATCACAATTACAAGCAACTGTAGATCGTTTACATGAACCACACAAAAATGTAATGACTATCAATAATTATCCAGTTGTTTTATTGCAGCCTCTACAATCTTCAGATGTTGTAGTATCAAGTAAGCAAACTGATAAGGAATTATCAATTCATAAAAATAAACAATTGTTTCAATCTAAAAAAATTCATTCATCCGAAAAAGACATTAATTTATCGGTTAGCATAAGTCAGGAGAACTGTTCTTCTTCAAACGTGACTACTACTATTGCTTCTACTGGTTCGTCCCATACTCCAAGCCGAAGAAAAGGAGTTACTAACAAAATTCTCACAAATGAAAAAGACACTCCTTCATCTGTCAATAACAGTAAAGAAAACTGTTCTCCGAAAGTGACTACTACCACTGGTTCATTACAAACTCCAGGTCGAAAAAGAGTAACTTTGGATTCATTTCTCATACCACCTGCAAAACGATCAAACGTTAATTTATGTTCTGAAATTCAGTCAGATGAAGATTGTGTTATTGTAGACTCAAAATGACAATTATTTCACTCTCACAATATATATATATATTGTTTGAGAATATTTGTGAATAGTCTAGGAGATATATAGTTTATGTGTGCATACCTCAGTATTTACGTTTTTCGAAACCGTGTTTTGTTTAGGGTGATTTAACCCCTGCTTATCTCATTACCATTTCGATCCTCTCTTATTTCATAATAATTGTCTACTCTCTAATCTATGTATAAAAATTAGTTTCAAGGGATGCATGTTAAATCCATATTCCGTATGTTCTTTTTGTTATTTTTTTGTTAGCATGTGAAACTATGAAGTACTATTAAGTAACTGAAATATATCCTTTATCTCCTCTCTCGCTCTTCACATATACTGTTTTATAGAAATTCTTTGTAAAGATTTCATCTATTGTTTATACATATCTCATTATTTTGAAGACAAACAAAAGTAAAGTATAGTGGACTATTGTTTTTCCTCTCCTTCACCAATGTGTGCTTCACATTATCTATTTTTGTATATTTATGTGTTTATGATCAGCCAAAAAATATGTTTCTCTATTCAACAACTTGTGGATGTTTTTTTCGAAAAAAAGTTGATAATTTTGTTTTAATCTAGTTTCTAACAAATTCTAAGTAGCAATATGCAAACGGGATTGATTAATATGGAACCCACGGAATATTTCAACGTGCTTTCAAAAGTCATCATTAGTGTTAATGACATTTTTCGCTTAGTTTGTTTTAATGCATTTTCAAATGATGAATATTTTTAGCGCTGAGAACAATTAGTATGAAGGTGTTCTGTTCTCTGAGCTGGATGGCTTTTGTAGTGAAGCGTTCATTATCTTTTTAGACAATATTACCGGCGCATATTCCATAAAAATGAGCTGATGTAAAGTTAGAGACCAAGTCAGGGAAAAGCAGCCGAAACACCCGTGAACGACCATACGCGTATGAATAACAACCGACTAAACTACAGGTTAGCAGGTTTTAGTCAATTGTGTTTAAATTCCAGTAGATCTCTTTCTGAAGTATATTCTGATTATATTGCCTAGAAAGACAATTCAAGCTTTCATACCAAACAATCCAGTCCAGAGAACACAATACTTCAAAAATATGATGTTTTGTTTGATTATTCCACTGGGACTCGTAAAAGAAATAGGACACCGATAACCGGTTGACACTAGACACCATTTTCTTTCTAGTTTGAAACTTCAGTGCTCACTCACAACTCAAGATCTTCCAATCTCGCGGTACACTGGGATGTTTTCATCAGACCGAGTTGGAGAATTGCTACGTTTAAAGAGATTACGAGTTCATCTAATCTGTGAACGGAACGAAGACTCAGTGAGACAATGACCAAATCACCTAACTATTCCTATGTGTCCCGACCCCGTTAACTAAAGATAGACGTCAATGTTCAGATGTCACTATATTCCTCAAACACCCAGAAGCACGATAAACAACAACGAGCACAACTCAAGGGTATATATACAGCATAAAAATGTCCTTGGGGAAGATTACAAAATATATATTAAGAGGCAACAAACCAATAGCACTTAGGGTCCTCCCAAGTGTGAAGTACTACATGAAGGTGTAAATTGATGCTTTTGCTACGAAAACAAGAAATTCAAACTTTAAAATAGAATTACTAAATTAGGCATTTACCAAGTGAGTTCTGGGGATCTAACATCACCAGCAAGAACGAATTGTTCATATTTCTAACATAAGTCAGTTCATGACACAACTCTATCGACCAGCAGTTGTCTCTTTTGACACATTTCAACAACATAGTTCGTCATTTCTCTAGGATTTTGGGTCACGTACTGCAATATTGGGTTTTCGTGTTACGGTCTATTGGTTGACAATATGGTTTTTAGCGGGATTTGTCAATTATTTACAGCTCCGTACGTAAGCTACACTTTCTCAAGGGGTATTGATTTTACCCGGTTGATCAAATAGGAGTCGGCGTCTGTGTTAATCTAGTAATCCAACAATTCAAAATTAAATTATTTAACCATCCGAATATTCCAAGGAAGTAGGTGTTGCTGAGTTGAATTTATGACTCCAATGAGCCATCAATCCCAGTTGAAATAAAAGAGCGGTTAGCATTTAGTATTATATAACCTTTTTTCCTCAGTTGCGTTGTATTAAATTGATGACATCTAGTTTACAGGAATTTTTCGTATTTCTATGTACAATTTAAATATTGGAAATGAAAATGAAATCCAGTTTTTGGTTTTTATTCAGCTGTCCTAACCGATTGTGTAACTCACTTAAACGAACAGTCAGTATATTTTGACAAGTTTAGTATCATGTAATAAAATATATAATTTTATGTTTTAGACTTAGTTTGTATGAACACGTTGTTATGAATTCAAAAACAATAATTACCATTGGATTTGGGCCTTTGTAATCGAAACGTTCATTAAAGGATGATTCGTATTATCGAATCCGCTTTTGACTGAATCACCCATTGTTTATAGAACCGGTGATCTGTTTAGCCGATATTGCATTGACCTCTTGACCAATAACTCGCTGGCTCAAACAATGATCACGTATATCTTAACGCTTCCTATTACGGGCTCTACCTCTTCCATTTTACTCAATGACCAGACGGAACACAGTAATCAGACAAGACTTATACTCTACACTTTACTTTTAACCTGAAACCCATATAATATTATAGATTTTTTTGTCTGATTGGGCATCAACTCAAGTGCGAAATGACAACTCAGTCATGAGTGTGACAGAAATGGCACTATAGAGGAATGACTAATTAATGATAAATGTGGAACAGTGAAACGTATAACTACGGTTTGTGAGTTAAACTTAAACTTACAAGTTCCAGAATATAAACAATAATCCCACCTAGGGTAGTTCTGAGAGTTCAATATCTCTCAAATCCTCTTTTGACAATCTCTTCGTGCCAATCAGTCAGTAACAACGTAGAACTTCGTACGTACGTACATCAGTTCGAGTTGCCACACCACATTAGCATAGAGATGCAGTGGTCGATTCAAATCCCGTAGTAGTAGAGGTAATAAGAGTATAAGCAGTAATCGGTAAGATTAGTGTTTGGAGATGTTATTTAAAGAGTATAATCCAGTGAAATAAATTTGGAAAGAGGAAAAAAGGAACATAAAGAATTCAGAAGATTAGAATTTAGGAGGACACAGAGAGTGGATGCACCTGCGCCATTGCAAACGATTTTGAGCCATGTCATTCAGGGTCTCTAAACATCAGTTGCAATCATCTCGCGGTCCCCAACCAGGTAGTCTACACCTACCAACATGACTCAGACCACTTGTCAGTGACTTCATGGACTTGTGCCATGTTTTGGTCTGGCCTCCCCTAGCTTTCTACCAACCTACTCCTATACCACTGAACATCGCACGTCGAGGCAGTCGGTCGTTGGGCATACATAACCCGTGTCCCAGCCATCTCAACTGATGAGGTTTCACTAATTCATCAATTGATTTGCCATCCTTACCTAGTACCCGTTTCCTAACAACTGCGTTACTTACTCGATGGTCCCAGGATATACGAGCAATGTTTCGAAGACACCTATGATCAAATACTAGTAACCTACGGATGTCTCGCCTACGCCATAAATGACGCAAGTTGACAAAAGCTAGTCGAACCTTCTGTATCCGTGCTGAGATTTCGTCACACACCAGACCACAAGGGCTGATGAGGCTTCCAAGATAAGTGAAGCGGTCGACACGCTCAACTACTTCACTCCCTACCATTAGTTCGGGTGTCGATGCAACCCAATCCTGAAGCAACATTTTACATTTCGAGGGGGAGAATTGCATCCCGAACATGCCTGCATTGATGCTTAGAGTGGTCAGAAGACTCTGCATTTTGTCAGCGTCTCCACCAAATAAAACTATGTCCTCTGCATATTCTAAGTCAACAAGCGAACCTCCCGGTAGAAGTTCAACTCCTGAAAATTCAGATGAGAGTGTTATCTCTAAAAGTACGTCAATGACAAAGTTGAACAAGAATGGAGAGAGTGGGCAGCCCTGACGAACACCACTTGAGGTAATCAATTCTGATGACAGTTCGCCATAAGCTCTCACTTTACCAGTTGTGTTCGAGTAGAGAGCCTGTATAAGGTTAATGTACTTATTTGGTACTCCTTTCAGTGACAAACACCGCCATAGAACCTTACGATCAACAGAGTCGAATACCGCCTTAAGGTTGAGAAATACTACCATTGTGGATTCAACGTTGGGACGAATTAGGGGGTCTCCATGTTAAAAGATGTTTTTCCTTATGCCTAAAGTTAGTATTTGCAAGAAAGAGGCGGTTATCTGAGCATAGCTGCAACAGACGGTCTCCATTATCTTTTCTTTGAGCCACGATGCTATAAGATCCTTCCAGGTGTCTTTCCCTATCGCTTAGTTTACCTACTTGAGCATTAAAGTCACCGGCCACCATTACTACATCCGAGCGCCTAGCTTTTCGGAGAGCTTTCTGTAAAACTCATCTTTTACATCATCTGAGCTGAAGTCAGTGGGAGAATAGGCAGAGACGACGAAGAGGCAACGACGAGTGTCCCTATCTTTTCGGATCCTTACTGTTCCGTTCAGTCGGACAGTGCACAAACGACTGTCTACTGGGATCCACTCTAAGAGAGCTAGTTCTGCCCTAGGACTCAATGCTATACCTACGCCGGCGAGGCCGCGGGAAGCAGAATCTGGTCTTCCAGATACACGAAGTGTGAATCGAGTCGGTTCTTTATTTTGGCATGGTGAAGCCAAATAGATGACGCTACTCGGATCTTGTACGCGCGTTTCGGAGACAGCACACATCGATGGCGCGGGATTCTTAAGTCCTAGCTAAGGAAGCCTGCTGTCCTATTTGGCACAGTGTTCGGACGTTAAAAGCTCCTACGTGTAGTTTAGAGCGTGGTTTCAGGAGACCAGGAATAGCGTTCCACGTACTCGAATCGTTTGCCCTAGCGGTGCGAGATGATAAAGAGACGTGAGATGGGTTAGTCATGAAGATAAGAGAGGTATTAGGAGGTGTAGGAAGGATTTGAATGTGACCAACTTGTTCCCGTGTTCTGTTACGGGTATGAGGGCTGATTTCACTACCCGGCTGCCCACACCGTGGAAGAATATTTCTTGAGGAACCTGAAAAGGAAATTGGATTGGTGTTGGTCTTAACGACCTGGGAGTGTGACCGCAGAGCCCAAGGGACAACTGCTTGAGGCTGGTCGCGCACGGCCTCTTTGTGGGAGATTTTTGACGTGTTAGCTCCGTTCTTCAAAGGGCCTTACCGCCGGAGACAGAGATCCGTGAGGTAAGGTGAGGTGTGACATTTTTAGGGTCGACCTTTTCTAACCCCACCCCTCCTTGTGGGAAGGCAGCATCGCTGTCATGCTGGTTGTCTGAAGGAAACACCTTACTGCTGTCACACCCCTCTACAGTCAGCAGTACGACTTCGCCCTCAGACCTTGAGTTGCTGCTTTTAGTCTTACCGTTCTCCAATCAACCTGCCTGGCATGGTAGAACCTACAGGAACATATGTTCCAGCCAGTATAGCTCGGTTGGGTCATTACGATAGGCAAGCTCGACCACCGCGTCAAGGTAGCAGCTTCG